GAGCCCCTCCGTAAAGCGCATGCGCTTGGATACCTGGGTCACATAACCAGCGAGCCGCAGAGGGGCTGGCAGAAGGGCAGGGGGAGGGTGAAACGGGTGATGGGGTGTGGGGTGTTGGGGGGGGATGTTATCATAAACTGCCTGAGAAATAGCTTTAGGATTTTGTAGGCATTCATTCTAGCACAGCAGCAGGGACGCATGCAGGGCATCCGGGCCAGGGCTGGGGGAGTGGGGGCTGCAGGGGGGTGAAGGTGTGCTCACCAAGCCCAGGGATGCTCCCCTGAGGACCAGCAGGGACCCCTTGGGAGGTGGGAGCCCAGCCCTAAGCAGAGCACCTGCAGCAGGATGGGCTCTGGGGGGAGATGGGGCACAGAGCACCCCAAAATGCACCTTCCTGGCCATTCCTGTGGCTGCCCGTGCAGGGAGGGGCAGGTCAGACATGAGGCAGCTCTCTGGAAGCTTGAAGGGCTTTGGTAGGCACAGGTTTTTCTACAGAAGGGCTTTCCTCCAGAAGGGTTTTCCTTCAGAAGGCTTTTCCTTCAAAAGGGTTTTCCTCCAGAAGGGTTTTCCTTCAGAAGGCTTTACCTTCAAAGGGTTTTCCTCCAGAAGGGTTTTCCTCCAGAAGGGTTTTCCTCCATAAGGGTTTTCCTTCAAAAGGGTTTTCCTCCTTAAGGGTTTTCCTCCAGAAGGCTTTTCCTTCAAAAGGGTTTTCCTCCAGAAGTGTTTTCCTCCAGAAGGGTTTTCCTTCAGAAGGGTTTTCCTGCACCAGCTGGGAAGGGAGGTGAGGAGCAGCTCAGGGATGCAGCCACATCCACAGCCTGCTTCAGGGAAGCTGCATCAGGAGGAAGAAGAGGGAGATTTTTAAGGCTTAGTCCCATTTGCATGACAGTCCCATTTCCTACCCGAGCAGGGAACTCCACTGTTCCTCACCAGGGTCACTGGAACACTGGAGTTCCTGTTTCCCTCACCCCCACCTGGGCACAGCAGGTGTGTGGAGAAGGGATTTTAGTGCTGGTTTGGAGAGAAAATTATGGATTTTAGCAAACAACGTCCATAAAAACATTTGAGAAATGTTGCACATGGGCCAAAGCTTTAAATCAGGAAAATGGGAAGAAATTATTTTTTTACTGAAAGATGCAACTGAAGTAACGATCCTAAAATGAGATTTTGCCTGAAGGTTTCTAGGCCTCAAAAGGCAACAGTGAGCTGTGCAGAAAATCTCCTTCAGCAGCGATTTGGTGGAAAGAAAAAGGAAAAACTGAGGAATTTCCTCATGCTGCCACTTGCTCTGGCAGTTTCCCAGGGATGGGTGTTGGTGCCCTGATCCCAAAATGCATCAACCTGCTCATGGTTGGAAGGTTTGGAGGAGAAGGAACCGTTCCAGGAGGGTTTGGAGGAGAAGGGGCCATTCCTGGAGGGTTTGGAGGAGAAGGAACCGTTCCTGGAGGGTTTGGAGGAGAAGGGGCCGTTCCTGGAGGGTTTGGAGGAGAAGGGGCCGTTCCTGGAGGGTTTGGAGGAGAAGGAACCGTTCCAGGAGGGTTTGGAGGAGAAGGAGCCGTTCCTGGAGGGTTTGGAGGAGAAGGGGCCGTTCCTGGCTGGCACTGCCATTAGGGATGGGCTCTGTCCCTGCAGGTGCTCGTGCTGGTGTCCCCTCCCAGCCTGCTGCCCTGTCACCCTGTGCAGGGCCACCCCAAGGCTGACAGTCCCAAACTGGCACCAAACCTGCCCAGGTGCCACCTTTGCCAGCTGGAGCTTGGCCAGCTTTGGGGGGCTGTGGAGGAGCTGGGGGTTCCTGGGGTTCAGCTCAACCCTGAAGCAGAGCAAAGGGAGAGGAGCTGAGTCAGGCTGGGCTTTATCCCTCTGCCAGGTGTCAGCAGCCAGCTCAGCCTTGGAATGAGGCAGATGGCATAAAAACCTCCCAGGATGAGGGCAAAACCAAATTGATGGGGTTTTACAAACTTTTCCCAACCAAAAAGTTTCTAATTAGAAAAACAAGACCAAAAAAAAAAAAAAAAAAAAAAGCTGATGATTAATGTGGGATGAACAGGGCTGCCCAAAGGGAGTGGTTGGAGGAGAGGAAATCCTTCAGGAGCTGGGTGAGAATTTGGAGCTGGTTTTGTGGCTCAGGGTGGTGGGTGCTCAGCAGTGCCGGCGTTCTGGGTGCCCTCAGCACCATCCCTGCTCGTGGATCAAGGCATGGAGACAGATCAACAAACAGAACCCTCCCCTCCACACCTCCAAAGACCAAATTCCTGCCACAGATGACAGCTTTATTCTTCTCCAGCCATCAGTTTGGAATTCCCTCTCCTGTTCCATGCTCTGGGTGGATGAGAGGAGGAAAGGACCCCTGGCAGGTTTTGTGCATTGAACCCCCCCCGTGCCCCCTCCCCAGCCACACCCAGCGGGTACCAGGGACACGCTGGGCTCTCACCTCTGCAATGCCAGCACCAGGAGCTGATCTTCCTCCCTCCCTCATCCCTGCCAAGCCCTTGGGGAAGCAGGAGAGCTGCTGTGGACCGTGGTCTTCCTCGCCCGCCCCGCCGGACGTACCTGGACGCGCACCTGAGCTCTCTTTGCACGGCCTTGCTTTGGAAATTAGGCGGGATAATGACGTCTCATCGCTCTCGGGGGTTTTTTTTTGTATTTTATTTTATTTTTTGTTTTTCTTCACAAAAAATAAACTCAACCCAAGGAACCCCACGGGAGCAGCGTGGCAGGAGGGCCCAGCTGGCTCAGAGACCCCGGAGAGGAGGCAGCAGTGGAGACCCCCCAGATCTCAATGCCCGTCAGGAGAGGGGGGAAAAAACCAAAAAAACCATTTTTGCTCATTGACTTCACGCCCTGACTCCCAAGTTCACACTTCTGCCTGGAAGCTGAGAGGCTGGAACCATGAAACCAAGAGACAAACGCTGGGATGGGCACATGCAGGGTCAGATCTGCCCGGCTGGATCTGCAGCTGCAGCACTCGACGCTCCCTGGGCTGTGCCACGGGCAAGGATGGCTCTGGTGCCATGGGCGAGGATGGCTGTGGTGCCATGGGCAAGGATGGCTCTGGTGCCAGGGGCAAGTGCAGCTCTGGGCTGATGCCAGGGGCAGGTCCAGCTCTGGGTTGGTGCCTGTGGCTCTGGGCTGTGCCCAGGGCAAGGATGGCTCTGGTGCCAGGGGCAAAGATGGCTCTGGGCTGGTGCCAGGGGCAGGCCCAGCTCTGAGTTGGTACCAACAACTCTGGGCTGTGCCAGGGTCAAGGACAGCCTTGGTGCCAGGAGCAGGTCCAGCGCTGGGCTGTGCCAGGGGCAGGTCCAGCTCTGGGTTGGCACCTGCACCCCTGGGCTGTGCCAGGCTCATGGGGAGGTGGGCATGCCCAGGTCAGACACGCCGTTGGCCTCACATCACAGTGAAAGGGTTTGGGGGCTGT